TCATTTCCAGCTTCAGTTTTGACTCCTGTATTGTTTGTTCTTTGACTATCACTGTGCTGTGAAACGGTTCCCTCTGCTGGACGACACACGACACACACCAGAGTGCACACACGACACACACACAAACCTGTTTTGGTCCCCCGTGGACAGTCCCGTTCAGAAGCACATTCTTGTCAACACTGTTCGTAGAACGTGGAACCGTTTGTTCCACGGTGTAAATAGAACTTTTTTTAAAGAGAGTGATTTTTGCACAAACTTCCTGCCACGGTTCGGTCGGTGTCGACGGTGTGTGTGTGAACCAGCGTCGACCAAAACTGGACCAGTTAGGATTCTCACAGTCACATGGTCCACCACCATTGAAACCATTGAAACCAGTTCCATCTCTGGTCGTCGGCCATGTTGGCCACGTTGACTTCCGTAGATCGGACTGCAGTTACGGAGAATTGTTGTTGTTATAGTTGGCGGTGTTTATTTTGTCGACTCGTTGTTTTCATCAGACTCGGTCAATGACGAGAAGAAAAACTGAAGTGGGTGGAGCCTAAGGAACAACAACGACATTTGTCGACTGATGATGATGTCAGTGTTTTTGTCTGGAAGGCGGGAAATCCAGACCAAGTTTGAATAGCAGCTGTCCAGTGTGATGGCGCCCCCTCTGTGTGGAGCGTCAGTGACGACACTCAATGTCACATTTTAGTTCCAGGTGTTGACCACTAAGCTCCGCTGTTCACTTTGTTCTGTGGCTGTGAAAGGTTTTCATCAGCGCCGGAGGACAGTTTGGTTCAGTTCGGTTCAGTTCAGTTCAGTTCAGTTTGGTTCAGTTCAGTTCAGTTCAGTTCAGTTCAGTTCAGTTCAGTTCAGTTCAGTTCGGTCCTGGTGATTCAGACAAACCTGTTGCACAGTCCACAGTCGCTCTTTTCTGTCTGAACCAACAGTTCGGTTCAGTTCAGTTTAGTTCAGTTCAGTTCAGTTCAGTTCAGTTCAGTTCAGTTTAGTTCAGTTTAGTTCAGTTCAGTTCGGTCCTGGTGATTCAGACAAACCTGTTGCACAGCGCACAGTCGCTCTTTTCTGTCTGAACCAAACTTGAAGGAAAAGAAAAAAAATATGAATGAGATGTGAATGAACGGGAAACAGACAAAAACCAGTCCTTTAACGTGTGTTTGAACTCCGACAACAAACTGACGGCAGTCGACAACAAGAAAAATCACCGATGACAAACAAACGTCCACTCTGTGAAGAAAGAGACGAGAAAAATAAAATGAATTCTGCAATAAGAAAATCTGTGTCTGTTGGTGCGTGTGTGTGTGTGTGTGTGTGTGTGTGTGTGTGTGTGTGATGACAATGATGTGAAAACTGCTTCAACAGTGAATTCCTTATTCACACCAAATTAAGCCCTGGTGTGAATGGAGGTGTGAATGGTCTCAGTCTTCAGGGTGAAGCAGACCTGTTGTCACGGGCTCAGCACTGCCATCGTGTGGTTGAAAGTTGCACCAACTTGGAGGTGGAGTCCGTCTCCGTCAGACAGTTCTATGTCCGGTCATTGACACCGGTGATGACGTCAAAAGTCAAATGTTGTTTTAATCACTTGTCTCCAGAGGGACATAATGCACCTGCAGGTTGAATCCACCAGATGGCAGTGTACATCACTGACACTGTATGTCTGTGTGTAGACGTGTAGAACTGTAGTACACTGTAGTAGACTGTAGTACACTGTAGTAGACAGTAGTAGGCAGTAGTACACTGTAGTACACAGTAGTACACAGTAGTACACAGTTACTGCACTCTCAGACGTCATGAAAGGAACAATGAAAGAATAGATGATCAGACAGAGCTGCACCTGTGAGCACTGATGACATCACAGGGGTGGGGGTGAGGGGGGGTGAGAAATAAAATAAGAAACAAAATAAGCACACACACACACGTGCACAGAGACCAGCGGTCAGAGACCAGCGGTCAGAGACGGTCAGCTCGGTGTTGGTTCTCATTCTTCTGACTCTCTGTGTTTTGTTGGTGTTACAGCAGAAGGTGGCGCTGTGACAAGAACATAAAGTATACACTGGACATGTCCCTCCAACATGACTGGCAATTACAGATGAAGAGCAGGAAGAGCCAATCAGGCGGAGGGGCGACTCATATCCACCAGTGGGGGGGGGGGGGGGGGGGGGGGGGGGGCTTTATGTCCTTCGCTTTACCAAGGTGGG